TACTGCAACTTACGGTATGGGTCTGGAGAATCCAGATAATTGTTACCCTCTCTTTCCTGGGTTTAGAGAAAAAAATTCTCCTAAATCCTGTTCTTTTAAAAAAAGCTCTATGGGGCTCTGAATTTGGGCTAAGATTGGGCCTTGGCAGTATTGTTGGGGTGACCTACCTGGAAGCTAATGAATAACCTTACATGTACTTCATCTTTCCCCACATCAGCCTGCTATTATACCTCTTGAAACTATGCATCCTCTTCTTGACCCAGCATTTTACTGAATATTGTGTTTCCTATTTATATAAATGAAGCCATTCATTCATTCATTTTACGATGGTTTATTTTTAAAATCACTTTTCATCTTTATCACCTGCCATGTATCAAACCTTGTTGCAGGAGATGAATCAATGGAGAATTTTTGCCAGATCAAAGGGCAACTTTGAACCCCTTACGGTATACAACTTCTTCCAAAAAGCAGGCTGACTGATGATAGATTAATATCTAGTAATAGCAGTTCAACAAAGTTAATTCCCTAACAATTCTGGTTTGACATTATAACTGAAGACATTATTTTGTGGAAGTAAAATGTTACTATCAGCTATTAATTTTGTTGAATAGACAATTGTCCTTGGGAAAAGATCTGGAAAATGGTTAGTCAGCTAAGTAGTGCTTTAAAAATCAATCAGCACATATTGATATACTCAAGACCCTGTACTAGGTGCTCCACAAGATGTAGCTTTTGACTCCTTTCTCCTTTTTTTTACTCTATGCAGTCTCCTCATCAATGACCTTACCTCCCATAGCATCTATTCAGATAACTCCCAAATCTGCCAACTCCAATACTTCTAACCCCTAGAACTATAGTTTTCAAATCCTAGCAGATATCATAATAATAACAAAAATTCAACATGTCAAGAAAGCAATTTTATTATTTCCCTATCATGTAGGTATCATTTTACTATTTTTGAGAGGATTTGAGAGGGATCAAGGAGAACATTTAGTCTATGTTAGTAATCCAAGCTTGAAGTACATAAAATTATGAGTTTCTATATGGTGAGCATGGAAAATAAGGGACAACTCTCAGAAATTCCGCAGGTTAAAATATTGGTAAGGATTGGAATTATTATAAATAACATTGTGTTTACTATGATTTCAATATCACTTCAAGATTTGGAGTCTTGAATGGGAAAATAAGAGCATCATTGTTAGAAGTAAGATGCCCTATTTGATGTCTGAGAAGATGGTCAACTGAATTTACTTAAATGCTAATACAAATTTTTTGTTGCAGCCAGGCAATACTTTTCCTTTATGGAACTAGCACTTTTTACTCTACCTTCCCACAGCTGTAGAGGCAGAGCCTAAAAAAGAAGGAAGTAAACGTATGGATCATTTATTTTGACTTCCTTCTTTTCATCAAAGCAAGACTGCTTTACAGGAATTTCTCCCACTTTACGATGGGGAAACGTAAGGCCAGAAAATTAGGCAGACTGTTTTCACACAGTCAGATCACATGACAGTTTCTAAATTCAGTCTCATTTGACTTAGTTGCTACTAAGCTACACCTACCTGCCCTTGCTGCCTTAGTCCCTGATTGGCTTACTGGAATTTAAGTAGCAGCAGATCAGGGAAAGCAAATCCATCTACTCTCATTCCCTGAAACAAGCAAACAGCCAAGTGACAAACTACCAAATTAGCACCTCCTTCTACCTTCATTATTGCCAACATTGTTCTGCCTCACAACAGACTTCAAACTTTGGAGCCATCTTTGACTTTCTCCTGCTATAACCGATTGGTTACTAAGTCCCATTTATTCTTAATTCTATCTTTTATATCCATTGTTTTCTTTATCTTCCTACTGTCAACATGCTATCTCATTACCTGTTTCTGGCACCATTTTGCTAACTTCCTGATGGTCTCCCTGCCATTAATCTCTCCTTCAACCAATCATAGTTACTTCTCCTAATAAGACTCAAGAGGCAGTGTGGGGTAGCGGTTGAGAGTCTGGAGTCTGTAGCCCAAAGGCCTGCATTCAAATCTTCAGGCTTCCAACATACAATTTGATTTTGTGCAAGTTACTAACTATTTGTTTCACTTTTCTCATCTTTGGAATGAAAATAATGATAATCAAATCAGTTAATAAATATATAAAGCAAATGTTGAAAAATGTCTGGCACAAAGTACTTAATAAGTGTTAATTGCTGTTTTCATTGTTACTATCATTATCAAAGCATACTTTGGTTATGTAATTTCAATTGGAACTGATATTTTTATAAAAAGATCAAATCCATGTTCTCTGAGTTTGTAGACTAAACATTGTAGGCTAATACAAAACATGGAAAAGATAAGAATATGATTGAAGGCACATGATATTGGAACCGAAGAAGACTAAAAGCCCACATATGCCTAAGGGTTTTGTTCCTCGTCCATCTGGTACCAAGGGCACCCTGGTGAACAGGGTCCCTATAAGCTCTGCAAAGTATGACCAGGAGAGCAAGTGTGTGGTCACTAGCAGCTGCTCAAAACAACTCTATGGCTTTTTTAGTCACCAGGGAGACTAAAAAACTACTCCCTAAACAGAAAATGATAGAAAGCATGCTTCAGTGCTAGTGATGGCCAGTTACCAGTAAAAGGAAAGGAAAAATAAAGTAGGGGAGGGATTTGGAGACAGAGGTAGAGGCAGAAATGAAGGCAGAAAAATATATAAACTCAGAGTGATTCCCACACAAACATACACAAAGAGACCTGCAAATTCATGGAGACATAGACTTTGATGTGATTAGCTTCCACTTCTGTGGCCTTTACTTGGACTCTTTAGATACTTTGTTTCAAATTCTGCCCCTAGGTATATACATCATATATATCTAGCCTATAAACCTTTTCTCACACCATTCTCTCTCTCTTTTCTTTCTTTTCTTCTCTTCTCTTCTCTTTTCTCTTCTCTTCTCTTCTCTTCTTTCTCTTCTCTTCTCTTCTCTTCTCTTCTCTTCTCTTCTCTTCTCTTCTCTTCTCTTCTCTTCTCTTCTCCTCTTCTCTTCTCTTCTCTCTCTTCTCTTCTCTCTGTCTCTCTTTCTCTCTTTCTCTCTTTCTTTCTCTCTCACTCAGTTGCCCAGGCTGGAGTGCAGTGGCACAATCTTGGCTCACTGCAACCTCCACCTACCAGGCTCAAGCAATTCTCCTGCCTCAGCCTCCTGGGTAGCTGGGATTACAGGCACTGTGCCACCACCACCATGCTAATTTTTGTATTTTTAGTAGAGACAGGGCTTCACCATGTTGGCCAGGCTGGTCTCAAACTCCTGACCTCAAGTGATCCTCCTGCCTCTGCCTCCCAAAGTGCTGGGTTTAGAGGCCTCAGCCACCATGCCCGGCCACTTTTTCCTTTTAGTGTCAGTTCTGTGTGTGCTTAAATTTACATATGCATGCACACACCTATACATATATTTTTTCATGTGTATTTCCTCTACTGTGACGTCTTCATTAAACACTGTAATCCTAAGAGTTTAGTTTTTTCTTCTTCCAGTGAACACCTCCAGAACTTAATTTCTTTTTACCTACCTAAAATCATGTGCTGGCTTTTTCACCAGCAATAGTTTTCAAGGTTTTATGTTGAGTTTCAGACTATATTGTAAGCTTTTTGTGAATAGATGGTGTGTTTTATACTTGCCATGTGAGTACTGAAGAAATAGCAGGACAATTTGTATAATAATACCTTGACCAGATTTAAAAAAAGTCCTAAGTGATGAGACCTACAAAAATATAGTAACAGGTAGATATTCCATCATACTTTTGTATATCTGCCTGTGAAAAGCATGAAAACATATAGGAGGATTAGTAGAAGGCAGAGGTTCATATTTGGAGAGGCAGATATTCATGGTTAACGGGCGAGTTTGAAGAAGAAAAATAATGGACTATGTCTTGATTCTGTGTTAGAGTAGATATGGTCTGCCCAACAGCTCATCTCCTGCTTTTGAAAGGTACTTTGTGGTTTAAAAACTTTTGTTTATGTCGTCAAATTCTCTTCATGTTATCTGAAGATATCTTGGTGTCTAATCTGTACTTGGCATTTGTATTTAAGGAAGTAGGCTATACATACAAAAACAAATATAATTAGGAATATTAATAATTTCACTGTGTGCATGTATGTGTCTGTGTGTGTTCATGTGTGTCTACCTCTCTCCCATCTCCCCTCCCAGCATTCATTTTGTGAAGGAAAACTAGTTGAGTAACTTGGAGCTATAGGAAATTAAAAACTAAAAACAATTATTATCATAGTAACTATACCAACTGGAATATTTAATGTGCACCAATGCTATGAAACAAGTAATTAAAACCAAAGTTGAACTGTATTGAAGAAAACCAATATAGAATTCTTGCATAATGTACTTGAAAAGTAAGTTCATGTGATTTTACTATCATCTAATTACTTAACATCAGCATCTGTCAAGTAGGTGAAATTCTTTAGGAATTCTTTAGAGTGTATATAAATAATATATTTTATGAATAGAAATCATGTTTAAAAATTATTAAATGCTCAATCAGAGCTAGTCTTCTGATTTCAAACAGCATAGTAATAGGTAATTTCTTAGGAAATGTTCCACTTATATTTTCTGTCATCATGTACATCTTTTATCTGTGGCCCGACTATTCACTCAACTCAATTTCATGTTTATAAATTTTCCTAGTTCACCTCAGGGACAGATGTTGGCAGTTTGAATGCTATTGATGGCTAATGATTATGCAATTAACATATAGCAACTGTTCAGCTTCTATAATATTTTATTAATGCCATAAGGATGATTTAGTTTTAAAAAACCTGTATAGCCAACTGCTTTTTAAACTTTAATAAAATATTTCTTTGGAATGTTTAAAGCAAAAAATATTTTTAAAATCCCAGAGCAAATTCACTTTATGCAGAGATGTTACAGTGTTGATTATGAAATTATCCCCACTAAAGAGATAAAATAAGAGGCATTAAATGTATATTCTCATAGAGTATTTCTTATCTTACAGATGAGCTCCGTGAAAATGTTACAGCCTCGTCTCAGTAGTATCCTGTTCAAACTCACATTTGAAGAACACGTAAACAACATCAAACCAAGCATCATAGCAGTAACTCTTGCCTGTGAAGAACTGAAGAAAAGTGAAAGCTTTAACAGACTTTTAGAATTAGTTCTTCTTGTTGGAAACTACATGAACTCAGGCTCAAGAAATGCCCAGTCTTTGGGTTTTAAGATCAACTTCCTTTGTAAGGTAAGATGACATTTTATAATGCTAATTTACAACAATAATCTTCCTGTCTATGAAAGGTGATACTGCAAATAGCAATCATGCATAAACCACAAAATTGTATGCTTAAAAAGGACGAATTTTCTGGGATGCGAATTATATCTCAATTCAAACAAATAATTTTTTAAAATCTCAGTAAAATCTAAAAGACTTGAAAATTCTTTTGAATACAGTACTTAACATTTGCTGATTACATTTTACTGAAGTTTATAGACAAAAAATCCCCACTTTTATAAAGTAGATGCAGTATTGGCCAGGTGCGATGGCTCACACCTGTAATCCCAGCACTTTGAGAGGCCGAGGCAGGCGGATAACCTGAGGTCAGGAGTTCGAGACCAGCTTGGCCAACATGGTGAAACCCCATCTCTACTAAAAATACAAAAATTAGTGAGGGGAGATGACGGGTACCTGTAATCCCAGCTACTCCGGAGGCTGAGGCAGGAGAATCGCTTTAACACCGGAGGCGGGGGTTGCAGTGAGCCGAGATCACACCACTGTACTCCAACCTAGGCAACAGAGCAAGACTATGTCTCACAAAATAAAATATAAAATAAAATAAAATAGATGCAGTATTGTATTTCATTTACATTATTACTTATGTCTTTCTAAAAAGTATCTAACAAGCTAAATTTAATGAGGTAAATAGCCAGAAATTTATTTTTGAATATAGTTTGCTTATTCTACTCTAAGATAATGATACTCTTCAATGTCAAGTAGTATTGTACACTGGTATCTAGTGCATTCAAGAGGTAAAAAAGAAAATTGAATAATAATCAGCTTGTTTTGATTGGATCATTTAATAATAACATTTTTGAGACTTATGAAAAGCAAACAAAGAAACAGAGAAGCCCAAAAGTGCTTGTACATGTCCATTTTTAGGCTAGAGCAAACCACCTTATTCAAGGAAAAGATCTGTCTGTTATAGAAGCCTGAAAAGACTCCGAGGTGAAGGCCTGTAAGAAAGCTAGAGACGAAAATAAATCTGAAAACAAGCAATCTATCTTTGACATCTCACCATTCTTTCACTTTTTTTCTCTCACATCTGAAAACATTGCAGAACTTTGGTTAGTTCTTGAAGTATATTATAATGAGAATCCCAAATCTAGCAATGGATATGACTTTCTTTTCTATACATGCATTAAATAGATGTTCATTACATATACATGGACTAGCACTTTGATAGGTATCAAAAATGATTTGATCTTGGGAGTTCTAACCCAAATAGACATAAAGAATAACACTTACATCTTGGGAGTTCTAACCCAAATAGACATAAAGAATAACACTCCTTACAGATAGCATAGATGATCTTGGGAGTTCTAACCCAAATAGACATAAAGAATAACACTTACAGATAGTAATAGGATGTACAATAGAATTGTGAATATCTGTTTATTCCTGATATATTTTTGAGGGCCGTAAGGAAAGAGAACAAGGAAGGAAAATAGGGAAAATTATCTGGAAATGCTGGATTTTGTGAAGAAAACATTTTCACCCTCATCTTCTTGTGATATTTGGGGACATGTAAAATCATTTCATAATGCCAGAGGGAATAAGGCAATGCTTGTAATAAACTGTACTAAATCATGCCAGATTTATAGGATAAAATAAAGTATTTAGGACGTTAACATTGTATTGTATACCATATACCCAATGTTAATAGAGTCATCTCTTTACCATGGTGCTACTTGCCTAGAGTATATGCTATATGCACAGTGAGTAAATCTAAAAGTCTTCTTGCTTGACAATTATAAAAAGAGTGTAAGTTAAAATATCATTAGAAATTTGTATTAGATACCTATTTTGCATTTAATTCATATAAAAATATTTTAAACCATTCTAATTTGAAGAAATATGTACCTTATAAGTGTCTTAATTTCACACTATTCAAATTAATTACATGAACTAGTTTCTTTGAAGCAAGAATGAGTAAGTCATTTATACATAGGAACAAAAGATTACGTTAATCTCACCGAAGGATTTTACAGTTACATCTTGTATTTTGGAGAGAGGCTTCTTTCTGTCATCTACCTGTCAAATAAAAGTTCTTCTACACAGCACTGATCTGACATCTATCACTAGAGGTATGCTCAAAGGATTCAGCACAAAGATTTTTGCCAACTTCAAATAAAATAAAAAATAATCTTGTGGGAAATACTATCATGTAGCAATAGGTGTTCCAAAAGTGAAAGAAGTGAAGGTTTTAAAATCTGTCCCCCACTCCACCCCCAACTCTTCAGTAAGATTCTTATCTTCTGGGAAATTTTCTAGGAAAACACTTGTCATTTAGAAAGAGAAATATCATATACATGCATGATATTCCCATAATGTCTAGGACTCAAAGGATATTCCTGGAATACAAAGGATTGTGAGTAAATGTAAATATCTAAAATGACAGAAATTTTCTGAAGCACATAGAAATAGTTAGCTTAGGTCTGTATTCTGTTTGAAATAGAATTAAGTAACTACTGATGTGTAATTAGCTAGAATTGCTGTTTAGTTTCAGTTGTATTATGAAGGATTTCTTGGTTGATTTTTCTTAGTGATTGCCTTCTTAAAGAAAATAGCAGGGGGAATTTCCCTCATAGAACACTGATTATGCTTTAAAAATGATACCATTTACTATCCTAAATTTTTCTAATGATAATTTCTCAGTGATTTTAAAACTAATCCAGTGCTTTTAACAAGAAGCTATAGAGTATGTTAAAATATTCAACTAGGTAAAAAGGAGGAATGTGGTTAAACTTATCAGATGTATCTTGTAGTAAGGTAATATAAAACTTTCAGATGGTCACAATTGGCTGTTATGGTATTTGGGAAGAAAAGGAAAACAGATGGGTTAACCAAAATGTCAACACTAAAGGGTATCATTATTGTAATTACTACCCTCACCACAAAATGCTTTGTTAATTTGCAGCAGTGAATTATCACTTTGTGAGTCACCAAACCAGTGTGCTGAACTGTAATAAAAATCATTTCAATGAAGATGAGCTCCCAATGTTAGCTTAGCCTGTTGGGTATTAAAATTCTAACCAATAGAAATGCTACACTTCAAGGCCATTTGTTTGCTTTTTTTTTTTTCAGTATGAAATAGCATATATAATCTGCATAAGGACAAAACATTTAAAAATACTTAGCATTCCCTCTATACGAAGCTTTGTGGGTTTATCAAATAAGTATCTTTGTTTGTAAGTATCAGAACGTGACTCTGCCTGATTCAAGCAAAAAGTGAAACTTGCTGGAAAGATATGAAGTAACTCAGCCAGCAACTGAGGAAAGACTAAATTACTTGGCCTTTAAAAGAACAGCAACTGTGACAGCTTTGAGAATTCAGGTAGCAGGATTGAATGAAAAGTCTTTTTAGGATGTTGCCTTTGGGATATATCAACTCCAACCATTTTCCTTCTCCTTTGCCTATGTTTGATTCAAATTCAAATTATGAAGAGAGCCTAATGAGCCCGGTGTGGATTATAAGAACACCCCTTGTTCAAGGGAGAGCAAAAAAACCTTGATTGACAGTGCTACCAAAACTACCTGCCATGGAAGATTGGTTATGCCCTAAAGGGTGCTGTTACCAAAGATAGGGATATACCAAAGGTTAGGAGCAGATAAAGGAATATCAGGCAGCTATAAACAAATACAAAATAAAACAGATGATCTATTCATCAGAGGTCTACAAACAATAGAGAAGATACACAGAAACCTCAAGAAGCTTGTGGTACAGTTGAGTAGCCAGGAAATACGCATACGGAATATTATGTAATGTCACAAGGTACACTGTCAGTGAGGGTAAAAATAAATGGCCACTGATATTAGCAGGAGTTCAGGGGAGGAAGGAATCTTTGGTGACTGGGCACTGCTGGTAAATTGAAAAAGAAGAAACTTGAAGAATAGGTAGGATTAAGAATCCATAACCTTACAAAAGGGGAGAACAACGTGGGCTTAGAACCTACGTTTTAACTTACACTTTGCCAATTACTAGCCAATTTTTCATGACTAAGTCACTTAGCTTCTCTGAATCTCAATTTGAGATTGAATATTTCTTGAATATTTCTCCCTTTACTTCTTGTGTCTTTTTTTTTTTTTTTTTTTTTTTTTTGATTTCCTTGCATTGGGCTTCACCTTTCTCTGGTGTCTCCCTGATTAGCTTAATAACCAATATCCTGAATTCTTTTTCAGGTAAATCAGGGATTTCTTCTTGGTTTGGATCCATTGCTGGTGAGCTAGTGTGATTTTTGGGGGGTGTTAGGAGCCTTATTTTGTCATATTACCAGAGTTGGTTTTCTGGTTCCTTCTCATTTGAGTAGGCTCTGTCAGAGGGAATGTCTAGGGCTGAAGGCTGTTGTTCAGATTCTTTTGTCCCATGGGATGTTCTCTTGATGTGGTACTCTCCCCCTTTGCCTGTGAATGTGGCTTCCTGAGAGCCAAACTGCAGTGATGGTTGTCTCTCTTCTGGGTCTAGGCACCCAACAAGTCTACCTGGCTCTGGGGTGATACTAGGGGTTATCTGCACAAAGTCCTGTGATGTGAATCATCTGCGGGTCTCTCAGCTGTAGATACCAGCACCTGTTCCGGTGGAGGTGGCAGCGGGGTGAAATGGACTCTGAGGGTTCTTAGCTTTGGTGGTTTAATGTTCTATTTTTGTGCTGGTTGGCCTCCTGCCGGGAGGTTGTGATTTCCATACAGCATCAGCTGTGGTAGTATGGAGAGGAACTGGCGGTGGGCAGGGCCCTAGAACTCCCAAGAGTATGTCCCCTTTGTCTTCAGCTACCAGCATGGGTAGGGAAGGGCCATCAAGTGGGGTAGGTTTAGACGTGTCTGACCTCAGACTCTTCTTGGGTGGGTCTTGTTGCGGCTACTGTAGGGAATGGGTGTGAGGTTCCCAGGTCAATGGAGTTGTGTACCTACATGGATTATGGCTGCCTCTGCTGAGTCACGCAGGTTGTCAGGGAAGTGAGGGAAAG